CGGGGCGGGGCGGGGGCCACGACGTGTGCGTCTTGTCGGCGGGCTCATCGCCACGCCGCCGTCGCTACATCGCCAATCAAACCGGCGCGTTTCTTAGATCGGCGAGGTGGCGAGCGGTGTCGAAGCAAGAAGCGCAACAAGCATGGGGATGGGGGCTCCACGCTCCGCAGAAGAGTGCGCCGTACAAGGCCCTGGCGTGCGACAGAGTGGTGTGTGTGTGTGTGAGAGTGCGTGAGTGTGTGTGTATGTGTGTGTGTGCGTGCGTGTGTATGAGGACGTGCGTGCGCACAGTGCACACGTTTTATGGGTGTGTACGAACCACTCATCTCGTCTGCGCCGCGACTGGTCGCCTGCCCTAGGGGACTTGGCGGCGACGGTAGTATAGTGGCACTTGCCTCACACGCGCGCGCGCACACACACACACACACACACATTAAAGGAATCACAGGACGGAGTACGCGACTCGAAGTACATGTTTGGAGGGACTTCCGGTGGCGAGCGAGAGAGTAGCAGCAGCGCCGGGGCCGCCGCGGGCGATTGCACAGGAATTAAGGCTCCCGTCCACGCCACCGCTGCTGCCGCAGCTCTCGCCGGTGGGGCGGGCCGAGATGGCGGTGGGGGCCCCTGCCCCCGTCTTCATCGTCGTCGTGGGCATGGCATGAGTATGAGTAGGAAGAGGGGGAGGAGCGAACAAGTCTAGAGGGCCGCTTCGCGATAGAGGTATATCCTGTCAGCAGCACACGCACCCGTTTGCACTGGCGGCATAGTTTCACTGCACCCTTGACTGCGCCGCATGACATGCCTGTGGTGTGTGTTGCCTACCCGCACGAGTGCGTTGGGTAGAAACGGTCGCGCTGGTCCGCACCCGGGCTCTGGCCCTGACTTGACTTGACTAACCACGAGGCCTCTTTTGGCAAAATACGAAGCAGAAGACGGAGCGACGTGGAGGCGTGCGCACCCCACGCCGGCTCGGCCGTGCTCCCTCTGGCCCTGGGTAGGGTAGTAAATGGTGACATCGCGCCAAGGCCTCCTCCTGCTCAAACACGCCATGCCAAGCCCTGCTCCGCGGGGCCACAAGCATCGCGCCGCGACGAAGTGCAGCATCAGCGACGCCCCTCCTCGAGCTCACACGAGTGCACAGCGCAGCGCAGCGCACCCGTAACCCGCGCCGCGCAGCACGAGTCAGTTTGTCGATCGCGCCCTCCCCCCGGCCCGGCTTCCTCTATGCATTGTTATAGAGAAAGTAGTAGTGGTACGGATCTGGTGCGGTGCGCCCCGTGTCTTTTTCACGTACAGCGGTAGATAAGGGAAAAGAGAGAGAGAGAGAGAGAGAGAGAGACAGACAGAGAGGAGGGGGGAGAAAGAGAGCCAGAGAACGCGCTTCGCGTTTGCGCGGGGGCACAGCGGGTCGCGGTTGGCGGGCTCTCCAAGCTAGCTGCACTGCAGCATCCTTCGGTAGAGGCGCTGTACATGTTTTTACCAAGTCTATGCCTCTCTTCCGCGCAGGTTCTCAGACCCGGGACGTCCCGGACGACGAGGAGCCTTCCTTCCCACCAACTACTAGACTCGCATCTGATGCCGTCCGCGACCACCACCAAGGCGGCCGGTGAGGAGTCGTCGGCTGGCCGTCGACAGCTGCGTGAAGAACAAAACGTCGTCGGCGAGCAGAAGCGCGCTGCCTGCAAGACGAGGACGAGGGGACAGCCCCCCCCCCCTTGAGCAGCACCGAACCACAACAGGAGCGTAAATAATTTATAACAAGTTAAAGCTAAGAATGGTGCCCAATAACGCCCCCCCCCCCCCGCGCATATCAGTGAGGACACTGCGCACGGCCGCGTGACTCCAGTCAGTATGAATGTGAAACCGAGAGCGTCAAATCCAAAATGTGAATATCGATATCGTGCGATTTGTAAATATACGTGAGTGCGCATGATGACTGTTAAATAATAATGATGATAATAAAACCCCACTTGCCATTTTGTAACCTGCAACGCCATTCATTCACTTGAATTCCCTCCGCTTCATCCCGCCAGTGTGCGCCCACTGGGTAGGCAACTTCTCGTGCTCGCGCGCGGAGAGAGCGGCGCGCAGGCGCAGGCGGTGCGGCGGCAGAGAGGTGCGGGAGCGCCACAGAGCAGGCCGCAGCCCCGGGAGGGTCGGCCACCAAACCTACACGCAGAGCAGCCTGGGTGCAGCGGAGGTCGAGCTCATTCATTAGAAAAGTTACAAAGTTCAACGTCTTCTTCAACTTCAAAAAGGGTTATCACGACGGCAAGCAAAAAGTGTCTTCTAGGTCTGGGATGGGGCGAGGGGGCAGCAGAGTGCACAGCATGTGTGGTGGTCATCACCATCACAGAGTGCCTCTCAGGCCGCAGTCCACTGCTTGGCACTCGAGAGCAACTTGATTGAAGTGGAACAGGCACCGACCCTTTGTGGTCCAACCCGCAGAAGATTGTCTGATTCACGTTCATACGGCAGCGACATCTCTTCCTGCAGGGGCGTAACGTTCCTGACACACCAGGCTCAAGTATGGTAAGCGTACTAGCAGCTGATGTCTCTGGACTTCAAGTACAGGGTCGTCGTGTCGTGTCATAATTTCATAAGGGTAATTTTTTCAAATGCGACCATGTAGTTATATTTAGCAAATTGGCAAATGTTATCAAAAACAGTCAATGGCAAAAAACAATAACACAACAATACAAATAACTTGTGTGTATTTGTGTATGGCACCGCTGTGTATGGAGGGGGCACCTTGACGGACGTGTGACAGTGACCGGCGGCACGTGGTTGGGCGGGGCACCACAACAACAGCGGCGTGATGCGAGCCACCACACACTGCAGCTAGAGTGTGACAAAGAGGCAAGCAGCAATGCTTAGCAGCATGCTCCCGGCGCGTGGCGGGGCGGGGCGTGGCGTGGCGTGGCGGGGCGGGGC